AAATAGCCCTCAATGCCCAGGTCTTTACTGTATTTAAAGACTCCCACTGATTTCAGTGTGATTTCAAGTACGGCCCCCTATCCTGTGCCCCTTACAACACATCCACAAGGAAAAGGTGCTCACTCCTTCCCCTCTAAACGTGAACCCAAAGCAGGCAAGCTGAGCGCTGCTGTGGGCTGGCGTGATGGATGGCAGAGCTCATCCATCATGAGCTGAGAGCTGCGAGCTGCTTCATTTGGGTGAAAGACACTGCGTGGGAAGCAGCCCTGCCTGAGCTCCCAAGGTGTGTAGGAGCCAGCTCGGTTTCATCTCAGCTGATTCCAGCACCAGTGTGATGCTCCATAGACAGCAAAGTGCCGGGAGCTGTGGAAGGCGGATGGAGGTTAGGACTCATCTCTCCATTCACTTGTGCAGGGATGAAAGCAGCAGCAAAGCTCTCAATGGGAGCCTGGGAGGTTCTCCACGGGCAGCACTCAAAGAGGAGATAATCTAGAGCATAGAACCATGGAATGGTTTGGGTTGGAAGGGACCTTAAAGCTCATCCAGCTCCAACCCCTGCCACGGGCAGGGACCCCTTCCACTAGAGCAGCTTGCTCCAAGCCCCTGTGTCCAACCTGGCCTTGAACACTGCCAGGGATGGGGCAGCCACAGCTTCTCTGGGCACCCTGTGCCAGCGCCTCAGCACCCTCCCAGGGAAGAGCTTCCTCCTTATCTTCAACCTGAATATCCCCTGTTTAAGTCTGTCTTGGTCTCTGGGGTTGCACCCATGGATTCTCACTTGGAGAAAGCCCTGAGACTTCTTCCTATCAAAACCAGCGTGGCTTCTCTCAATGTCCCTTGAGCATCCGTGCTTCAAATTCCCTTGGATTTGGGGAGGAACTCCCCAGATTTGACCCAGAGCTCCACACTTTGTACACCACCCCAAAGACCTCAGTTTCTGCTCCTTCTCCTCAAAATCCATCCACCAGTACCTCCAGGAGGTTCTTGCAGGCCCCCCTTTACTTGGAGAGACCCCTTTGGTCTTGAGCATGTTCAACATGCCCTGAAGCTCTACCTGGTGATGAGGCAGCCCTTGGCATTGGTTATTTCTGAGCACCCCCAAACCATCTGCTCCGCTCTCATCCCTCTCCTGGGTCCCTGTGAGGAGGAGGAGGCTCCAGCTGAGAGAAAGGGACAGGCCGCCCACTTGTGCTGAGTAACCAGTGCCAAGTTGGATGCCAGCATAGAAACACACACACACACATACACACACACAAAAACATTTCCACTGAGGTTGCTATGAACAATGGTCTCTTGGTTATTTGCTGTCTTAAACACATATGCCCTTGGCAGTCCTCCATGGAGAACGGGCCGTCCAAGCACCGACCCTTCCGCTCTTGGACCAGCATCCAACTCTACCAGCTGATGGATGGGGTGTTTCATCAGTGCAGAGCAGGATGTGATCCCTGCCCTGGATGTTTGCAAGCTGAAAGTAGATCATGGGCCATGGCAGAGCTGTGTCCTAATGGATGGCGGTGAGAAGACGCCTCTGTCTCATCAGATGTGCTTGATGAGCTTGAGCTTCTGCTTACATGGAACCCCAAGCCCACCTTGTTGTCACCTTCCCACCCTTCCTTGAAAGGTTGCCGTGGTGTCTGCAAACCCACGGGAAGACCCATGGAATCATGGAATGGGTTGGATTGAAGGGAGCTTAAAGCTCCTCCAGCACCAACCCCTGCCACGGGCAGGGACCCCTTCCACTAGAGCAGCTTGCTCCAAGCCCCTGTGTCCAACCTGGCCTTGAACACTGCCAGGGATGGGGCAGCCACAGCTTCTCTGGGCACCCTGTGCCAGCGCCTCAGCACCCTCACGGGGAGAACCCCGCTCTGATCATCACCCAGCCACACACCTCCAGGACTGAGCATCAACACTGAGGCAGCTGCACCCAAGGGGAGATGGGCTCCAGCTCCCCTCTCCACCCCTCCAAGGAGCACTGGGATGCTCCTGGACACCCTGAGGGGATGAAGAGGGAATCTGCACGTGCCCCCTACCCCACAACGGGACATGCCTAGGCTGGGGCAGGGACAGTCCTGCAGCTGAGAGGATGCTCTGAGGATGCTGCAGCTCCATAGCAGCTGTACATGGGCACCCAAGGAAACACAAAACCAGGTCAATCTTTCCTCCTCAACTCTCTCCAACCATTTTCAGTTCAGGGGGTTTCCATAGGGTGAGCTGTCCACAAAGACACCCAGGCAGAGCAAGAGCCTCATGGGTGTCCCAGCTCCTCTTCCCCACAGACACAAAGGGGAAAGGTCCAGTCCCCTATGAGGGATAACAGCCCTTTGCATGCTGTGTGAGTCCATCCTCACTGCAAGGCATTGCCTCCTTCAGCCTGGGTTGAAGCACAGAGCCTGTAGGACACCCTATGGTTTATGCTCGTGCAGCACTATCCTCTCCCATTGCAATCCCTGTCCTTTCATAAGGATTACCTTGGGACTAGCACCGTGAAGCAGGTTTTCTGCCCTCCTCCTCCTGCCGCTGCTGATCCCTTTCCAAGTCATCCTTGCAGATCCCATCATTCCCTACGGCAGCCCATAGAGGGACATCGCTCTGCCCCTGCTCCTTGTCTTCACCACAGCCCCTCCAACACCTCCATGGACTCTGTTTTCCCTGATCTGCCGCGTGTTTGCTGTGTCTTGATGTGGTTCTCATGCTCCAGCGTCAGATTGCAGCGAGTCCCAGGGAGAAGGTGCCAACTTTAACATATGCCTGAACAGTTCTTTTCAGACATATACAAACTGGAACAATGCCTCGCTGAGAATATGCTTGTTGATGCAATTTGCCAACTGTGGTTTCAGATCTGCTCTTTTCAGCAAGTACCAGCTCTTTGTAGACGGTGCTAAAGCTTGGATAGCCGGGGACTGAGGGGGTCTCTGGAATTCTATCTCCAGGCATGGAAGAACTTGCAGGGAAGACATCCTAGGGTTGAGCAAAGAGCTCCATCAGTCTCACAGGTAAATGCCCCATCCCTGGCAGTGCTCAAGGCCAGGTTGGACACAGGGGCTTGGAGCAAGCTGCTCTAGTGGAAGATGTCCCTGCCCGTGGATGAGCTTTAAGGTCCCTTCCAACCCAAACCATTCCCTGGTTCTATGATCCAAGGCTGGCAGCAACATGGAAAGCTCCTGTGTGAGACACCCCATGCCCTTGCATGTCCCCTGCAAGAGGCTGCACCACCGTGTTCAGAGGAGACCGGGCTGCCTCTGAGCATGGACGGGACTAATCCTGCTGTGCCCCAGGCACGTCCTCATTCCTGGTGGGGCAGTCCCAGCAGGCACGGCTGACTTGACCTCCTCCATCCATCCCTGCTCTCTGCCTTCACCCTGCCACACTCAGCAGCCCCAAGGACCACCCAGTTGGCCATGCAGGGTCTGAACCGCTCCTCTGCTTGGTGGCGCTGGTGGCAAGCAGCAGAGTCCCCCCCATAGGAGACATGGCTTTGGCCCACTCTCTAATCATGGAAGCATGGAATGGTTTGGGTTGGAAATGACCTCAAGATCATCCAGTTCCAACCCCTTGCCATGGGCAGGGACACCTCACACTTGAATCGCAGTCCCCATAGGTGACCATAAGTAAGTCAGAGGGCCTTGGCTGCCCTTTCCATCCAAGGAGGATCACATATACCCCATGGAGGTCTGCCAGCAACAACCTGTGCAGAGATAGCACACAATCCTATGGGAGCAGCCGGGTCCAGCACTATTAGCAGCAATAATCCATGACCTGAGCTGCTGTTTCTCTGGGAGCAGCAGCAGCAATGGGTGACAGCAGCTCCTGCATCTTCTCCCCCTCTTGAGCTCCCCACCAGGTGAGCAGGGCTGCTGTAACCACTGCACATCCATGGAAGGGAACAAGGACAGAACCAGAGCCTGATGGTGTGTGTTGAAGGACCCAGCGCTGGGGTGAACCTGGGAGCAGGGATATGAGCCACCAGCCTTTCCATGTGTGGGAGCATGGACAGCATCGTGAGCTTTTCCTTTTCCTTTTCCTTTTCCTTTTCCTTTTCCTTTTCCTTTTCCTTCTTTTCCTTCTTTTCATTTTCCTTTTTTCCTTTTCTTTTTTCCTTTTCCTTTTTCCCTTTCCTTTTTTCCTTTTCTTTTTTTCCCTTTTCTTTTTCCTTTTTCCTTTTCCTTTTCCTTTTCCTTTTTCCTTTTCCTTTTCCTTTTCCTTTTTCCTTTTCCTTTTCTTTTTTCCCTTTTCCTTTTTCTTTTTCCTTTTCCTTTTCCCTCTGGCTCCTCTCATTTCTCCTTGGAGAAGACAACTCCATGCAGGGAACTGCCCTGCTTCAGTGTAAGCCCCTGGCCAAATCTGCATGCCATTTGCATGTCCCTTTGCTAGCTCATCTGAGGGAGTTCGGGGACTTTGCCCCCTCTGTCATCTCAGGTCTCAGGTCCTTGTCCTCTCCATAGAGTAGGAAAAGAAGCTTTCACTTCCAGTATGACTTTATTCCCCCATCCCACCATCACTGGAGACCCCGGAGCCCTAAAGGAGCTCTGCTCTTAGAGATAAGGGGAACCAAGGACCAAAACGGGTTTTCCATGATCCCAAGGTGGACACAGGCAGATGGACACGGCTCCCACCCCCAGCCACACACCAGGGAGCTGTCTGTGCCCTCAGACACCAGCCATCACCCCAGAACACCCCACACGTCCCCGACCCACCGCATGGGGCTCATCTCTGTGGGAGCACTCTTGTTTGCGGGGCACGGAAGCAACGAGACACGGCGAGGTTGCGGGATGCAGAGCCACGGCATCACCAGATCCGACATCCCAGAGCCATGGGGTGGAAAGCGGTGGTGATGGGAGGGGGGTGGTGGTACCCACGAAGCATCCCACCATCCGCAGGCAGGGCTATGGCTTGAGCCAGCAGAGCCCTGTCCTGTCCGGGTGGCGAGGGAAGGGTTAAAGGCAACGCGAGCGCAGACCCTGCCTCCATCCTCGCCTCGCTCGCTGTTAGGCTGCCGCTTTGACAGGGGGTGGCGTCGGGGCTGGCCGCCGTTTTGCCGCAAGAAGGGGGGGGACAAACGTGTCTGGGAGTGTGTGCGATGGTGACATGTGACAACATGAGATGAGACCCCTCGGACGGGAGCGGCCACCCGGCTGCGGAGCCAGCGCTGCCTGATCCCTGCCCGCTCCGAGCATCCCTGCCAACAGTGAGGATACGGGGAAGGGGGGGGGAATGGGAGATGGTGGAAGGGGGGGGGGACGACGTGGGACAGGGTGGGGGTGACAAGGAGAAGGGGGTCCCTTGGGGGTGGGAGGGATGCGGGGTGCAAGGGGAGCAAGGTGATGCTGGAGCTGCGCTGGGGTGGTGTGATTTGGGGAAGGGGGCGGGGGGGGGGGGAAGGAAGAGATTTTGGGGAGGGAAAAGGGAAGGTTTGGGAAAGGGAAGGTTTTGGGGTGGGGGAAGGGAAGATTTTGGGAAGGGAGGTGGAGGAGGGGCTGCCAGCGCCGATGTCTGGTGCGATGGAGAGGAGGGAAGCTTGTTTGTGCCTAAAGTCGCAGCTGCCTGGATTTTGCCCCTCGGGGCCGTTTGGATATGACAGCATCCCAAAAATAGAGTGCAAGGAAGGGAGGGAAAAGGGGGATGGGGGGCCGGACCTGTTTGCCAGTGCCCAGCAGGATCAGGGCATAGCCATATCCCACTCCCACCCCTTTCCCATCTTCTTTCATTTATTTCTTTATTTCTTTGGCAGTGATGTCAGGGAGGGGAGCGGTGGCTGGGGATGGAAGGGGGGGGGATGGATCCATGGATCCATGGATCCAGGCAAGGGAGGTTGCTGGCGGTCGAGTGATTAACGTGCTGGGAATTATGTCGGGAATTATGTCATCTACTTCGGCGCTGGGTGGCCCTCGCCCAGCAGCGGTGGGGAAGGAGGGAATGAGGAGGACAGGGGGGGACATCACAACACGGGGCTCCCCGCTTGGGACTTCACCCACGGAGGCACCGGTGCCTCATGGGCTTTGTAAGGATGTGAGCATTGAGTGCGTGTGTGTGTGTCCCCCCTCCGACCCACTGCAACCCTCAAGCCATGGGTGCTCCCCAGGGTGCCCCATGGGCCCCATCCCCATGCAGGAGAGGAGCAAGCTGTCGCTCTTGCCAATGGCTCGTCCTGCTCGCAGCACGTTTGGAGCAGCAGAGAGGGTGTTGTGATGAAGGAAGGATGAAGGCAGGCGGCCCCTCTGCCAGCTCCCCGGGTGGGAACAGGGCTGGAGCTGCTGCACTGCAGCAGAGAGCCCCATGCAGGGCTGAGGGTGTGCCTGGGGGAGGACATAGACCTCCCCTGACACCCCATACACTGCTTGGAGCTATAGGGAGAGCCTGGGGACCTGTGGCTGCGAGCAGCTCCCCCCCCCAGGCCGCCTGGTCCCTCTGCTCCAGAGGAGAGCATCGGGGCTCTGGATGCTCCACAGCTCCTTGAGCATCCCCTGGGCACCCCCTGGGCATTCCCTACGTGCATGGGGAGCTGGGGAAGCAGGGCAAGGCCTGCAGCTGTGCCAGGCTTGGGTCCCTCTTCCCTCTGCTCTGCACCCCATGCAGCCTTGTGCAGCTGCACGCAGCTCCATGCATCCCTGCACAGCTCCGTGCATCCATGTGAAGTTCCATACAGCTCCATGCAGCCCTGTGCAGCTCCATGTAGCCTCATGCATCCCTGGGCAGCCCCATGCATCCCTGCGCAGCTCCATGCATCCCTGTGCAGCCCCATATAGCTCCATGTATCCCTGTGCAGCCCCATACAGCTCCATGCATCCCTGTGCAGCTCCATATAGCTCCATGCATCCCTGTGCAGCCCCATACAGCTCCATGCATCCCTGTGCAGCCCCATACAGCTCCATGCATCCCTGTGCAGCCCCATACAGCTCCATGCATCCCTGTGCAGCCCTATGAAGCTCCATGCATCTTCCATGTAGCTCCATTCAGCCCCGTGCAGCCCCATTCAGCCCTGTTCAGCCCCATACAGCCCCATGCATCCTGTGCAGCTCCATACAGCCCCATGCAGCTCCATACAGCCCCATGCAGCTCCATACAGCCCCATGCACCATGGCAGAGGGTCAGGCAGCACAAGAAGCAGGCAGAAGCACACAGGAGGGCCTAAGGGAGATGCAATGGAGGTAGGAGGGGTGGGCAGATGCTGTACCAGGGCATGTCCTGCCCCACGTCACAGTACACAGGAGGGGGGGGATGCCAACAGCACCTTTAATTCAAGCTGGGAGCCCCTGGGTGCAATTCAAGCTGGGGGATGCCACTTGCCCCATGGGGTAACCTTTGGCAACCCCTTTAGCTCCCCTGTGCTCTGCTTCCAACACCCTCCAGCGCCTCCTTCATCCTCAAACCCTCTCCATCAGCGGATTATGCCAGCAGCTGAGCCCTCGGGGGAGATGCTGGCATTAAAAGCAAGTGCAGGAGCTCAAAGCACCCCCAGCCTGAAGCAGCCAGGGGTGGGAGGCTCCTGCATCACCCATCCCCTTCTCCATGCAGGGAACCATGGGGTTTGTTTATGTGTGGCCCTGGTGCGAGCGGTGATGTGCCGTGGCTATATATAGATGTGATGCTGTCATCCCAGTTCAGCCTGGCTGGGGAACGTGTTTGCTGCAAAGGTTGGGAAGGGAATGGTCTGAAAACAGGCGTGATTCCGTGCCCGGCATCCCGCAAGGGAGCCGGGAATGTTGTCCCGAGCCTTGTGATGACAATGGGGCAGAGGAGGAATGTGCGGAGGGATTGAAATCCCCCCCCCAGCTCCCTGTTGTAGGGGTGAGAGTTTAGAAAGCAACGCAGCAGCATGTGTGGCTGCACGGGCTCTGTACAGGGATGAAACTCCCCCCTCCTTGAACTCTTCTTTTCTGGGTCACTGGGCTGATATCCTAAGGGAACAACCCCTCAACTCCCAAATCCGAAAGGAAGAGGTAGAAAAGCATTGGGAAGAACAACATCTGCTTGGAGAAGATACTCGGGAGACCTTGCCCTACTAAAGATAGGGGTGGAAGAGACCCATGGGGGCTGCAGCGTCAGCCCTGTGTACCCACTGCAAGAGCATCATCATGTCATGGTGCAGGATGAGGGCATCCCTTGCTCGCCCATCCATCCCCCAGAGGCCAGTCCCCTGCCTTGCAAAGGGAGGCCGATGGGGAGGGAGGCATCAGCGGAGGCAGTCGCTGCCTGCTAACTCCGTGTGGAGCTGGATAAACCGGGATAAAGCGGGATGCTGAAAGTTTCTGAAGGGACTCGTGTCCCGATGGGGAGGCTGAAGAGTTAAGAGGGAGTCGCTGGTGCTGTTGTAGGGCTTAAAATGTGCTGCCTCAGGAAGGGGAACTGAGCACATCAGGGAAAGGCCAACCGTGGCCGGGGCTGTGAGAGAAATCCAGCAAACAAAGGGTGAAAGGAGGAGCTTTCTTGTTTCCCTTTGCCAAGGATCTTTCCCCATTAGTCATTCCTGTCACAGGAGCTGGCAAACACCCTCAGTATTTGAAGGATCTCAAAGTGGAATGGAGGCACAGGTCCAGGAACCCCGTCATCCCTGCCCTGCAGGCTATGGGGGAAGCAGGCAGGGATCCCTCCATCCCCTCTGACTCGCCCGAGCTTCTCCTCCATGGATAAAGCCTTCATACCCCATGCTGGGTCACTGGATTCCTCCTTTGCTTGTGCTTTCTGGAGCCAGGGAGTCCTTTCCATGCAGGATGTGGTGGTAGCAGGAGCCATGGGTAGGATGTGATGCTTCATCCTGGAGGTGGTGGTGGTGGTCTGAGTGCTTTGAGACCCTACAATAAGTAGGGTACCGTATGGTCCATATGGTACCCAGCAGGGAGCAATGTGCACCCAAAACTCATCTCTCCCATCGTGGAGACCACCATCATGGTGGGGGTAGAGGACCACACTGATACCCTCCATTGTTTGGAAGCCAAGGGATGGACTTGTTCCTGCAGGAAAACATCTTGGTGGGGCGGTGGGTGAGAAGGACATCTCCTTCCTGGGTAAAGGTGGGACTTGATGATCTTAAAGGTCTTTTCCAATCTATTTGATTCTATGATTCTGAGACTTAAGAGTGGGGATGCCAGAACAGGAGGGGACCATGCAGCGAGAGCACTGCCAGGAGGAGATCCACCTTCCTGGTGCACAAGAAGGTCCACATAGGTCCTAGAAGAGCAAGGGAAGCAAACCCAGGTGTTAAAGCAGCTATCAGGGAAGAGGGAGATGCTTTATGCCTGGTAATCCAAGGTTGGCTGGAGCCAAGAGCTCTCCTGGCAGAGGGAGCTGATGGAGGAGCTACAGAAGCTCCTGCTTCATCTCCGTAGCTGCAAGGCTGGAATCAGGCCCCCAGTGATCTTCATTGAGTTTTATCCTTTCAGCTTTGTTTTTGCACTGAAGGTGTGGATCCTGCTGGTTTTATCTGGCTCCTGGCTCAGAAATATGAGTTTTGTCTGAACTTGCTGGAGTTTGACCCAAAATGAGACCTAGTTGCAAGGTCTCTGCTTTCTGCCTCCTTCTCATTGACTGCTGTGGCTGGCACCTTCCTTCTTACCCATGTGTGTTGAGTTGTGGAGTGGTCACAGGGGCTGGAAACCTTTTGGGTTCTGGATAGAAATAGGAGAGGCCATGGGATAACGTGGTTGCAGCAGCTGGAGCCTCACTGGAGCAGGTAGACCATGAGCAGCCCTTACATGCAGAAGGATCCATGAAGGCTGAACCTGCACCCTGGGCCAGCTCAGGCATCAAGAACCCTTCCCAGCCTCCAGCACTTGGTTCTTATGGGATTTATTCAATGAGCTGAGCTTTCCCTTTTGCTCCATGACTTCTCTCTGGTTGCTTTCTGAGCCTCTCCGTGCCCTTTAGCATCTCCTGTCACCCTCCTGGCTCTCACCACCCACCCAAGAGCCACCTCCAGCCTTCAGGTCCGCAGTGGGTGCTGCTGGAGTGGGAACTGCAGCATTTATCAGTGCAAACCAAACCCACATCCCTCATCCTGGCCCCACTACGGAGACAAGGGGGTCTCCTTTTCCTTAGGGACCGAACCCTGATCAAAGGCCAGCGGGATGCTCCAGGTTTAGGCAGATGAAACAGATCCTGTTCCCTTTGTAGGGAGCTCGGAAGGAAGATGATGATATTATTAACACAACCAAGCTCACAAATATTTATCAGCTGGAGAAATAGACGGGC